ACATAATTTCTGGAATTTTTTGTGGCAAAAATAAATCAAAATAATAGGCAATACTTCAGAACAGTTTGTATTGAACATCGTCACTTCAATGGAACACAATCTCTAGTTAAAATAAGTTAAACTTATTACTGACATTTGTTATTTAAGCAACTGAGATGTTTATTTAACATTTTTAATATATTTATATCAAAGAATGACCTAAAACGCCTCTTTATCCCACCATGTTCAGCAGTGAGGTTTAGGCAGAAACTTTGTAGTTGTTTTGTTTTTATCTTGTTCTACTGCTGTTTAACCCAGGAAATTAGATTTTTAAAAAAAAATCTGAGTTAAATAAAGATTAAATAAAAACAAAAATGAAAACCATGCTACTTAGGCAGTTTAATGGGACTAAAATGAAAGCCGGGTTGGGTTTCGTGACCTTTCCTCTCAGATCAGGGACAATAAGTCTTTGTGTGATCGCCCTGCGCAGTACCGCAGCACTGCATGAGGCTTAAGGCTGAAAAATGAAAATCTGCTTTGTGTGTTTGTTTAAAAGAGGAGCGCGGTTGGCCCCAGAGGGCCCCCCGGACCGCCAGGCTTCGCTGGAGTACCTGGAGTCGACGGAATCGATGTGAGTCTGTTTATTTCATCCCTCAGTGAAGCCAAACATCAGCTGTTTCAGCTTCACAGCTCTTCTTACTGTACATTAAAACAACTTTCACTCATATATAAATGATTTCTTCTTCTCCTAATAGTGGAGATCAAGGAAAATATTCCAGTAAAATCAAATAATACACTGAAAAACAGAAGATGGAACTCCAACTAAAATTTATTACATATAATTTAATTAAGTTTGTCAAACTTAATTTATTTATGTTTATTTACTTGGATAAACTTAATTTGGTTACTTGTAACAAATTAACATAATTTTATTAAGTTGGACCAACTGTTTTCCTTTTTCAGCGTAAAGGTATAGTGTGGGACCATTTGAGGAAATAGTAACTGACAGAAAAATAATAAAAGGAGATGAGGCAAAATATTCTAGTAAAATAAAATAATATGGTTATAATGTGACAGAAAATTGTTTTTTTTTTCCATTGTGTCATTTGGATTTTTGAGACTTTTATTCAATCAAAGGTTCTGCCTACAATTAGGAGACGATGAAAAGAAGGAAACAAACAGAAGTAATTAGTTTGGAGCTTCGTTTCCAAATGAGGGTCATTTTCAGGTGTTTGTTTGAGTCTCTGATTGAGAAGAAAATATTCTGTTTTTCATCACCTTTATCTGAAATACAGTTTAAAAACAGCATCAATCAGCTGTTGGTGATCAGGAAATCTTAATTTAATTATTTCAAATACACTTGATTTATTTCGTTTTGGGTTTTTCTGCATTATTCGAATAGTTTTTTTCACCTAAACATAACAAACATCTCACAAATATCCATTTGAGATGCTAAGGGGACAGCATATAAAACCATAAACAATATGTTGAGTGGCCAATTTATAAAACAAATGAACCTTTACATGTATAATTATTGTTTTTGTGTTAATTTTAACATTTTTTCTGCATGTTCAGGGCGAGAGAGGGGAAGACTCCTCTGTAACTGGCCCAGTAGTGAGTGATTTTCTAATTTCTACATGCAGAGTTTCATAATGAAAACAACATTTTAGGATTTATTTATTAAACTGCACCATAACGAGTTGAACATTCCTGTTTCCAGGGTCTTCCTGGAGATAATGGCAAAGATGGGTCTTCTGGAGCTCCAGGCCTTCCAGGAGCAGATGTAAGTAAAAAACAAAATTAGGAATGTGTGTATTTATTAAATTTTAATTAAAAGGATGTTTTTTACATCTTGAAATCTGAAGTTGGAGAACTGGACTTATGTGTCTGCTGGTATCTGAACAGTTTGGATTTTCCTCCTGTGGGCAGAAATGTAGAGAGAGGAAAAATGTCCCCCTGAATAAATCAGTGGGGCTATTTAGGGCTGGGTCTCACGTGGCTTCCTGACAGAAACAGGGGTCTTTTTGTCTGCACCTGAAAGGAGTTTTGGGGGGAAAGGCTGTTCAGAGATGGCTGACAGGAAAGACATGTGGAGTGGTAACAGGGAGTTTTCTGTCTGTCAGGATCGCCACAGAGTGATATTACACCATGGAGGTTAAGGGTATATGACTGAGCTTCAGCTGTAGGAGCAATACAGTTTATTTTTGCCAACTGTTAGGATGGAGAAAAGCATTTTGATTGCCTTTAGACGGGTAATTATGATTTTATCACTCATGCACGGAGAAAGGAAGTTCAGTGGAAGGCCAAAATTGGAAAAACACAAAATCTTGCTTGTAGTATTTTTGTCTAGAGTCTAGAGCAAATATCTTAGTCCACTTGAAATGAAACCAAATTAATTTACAAGAAACTTTTCAGCAAGACATATGAGCTTGTTTTAAGTAAATAATTCCTTAATATTTGTGAAAAATTACAAGTTCCACTGGCAGGTTATTTCACTTGACACGGGGAAATATCTTGTTATAAGTGAAACAATCTGCCAATACAACAAGTACTTTTTAAAATCAATATTCAAAAATTATTTACTTAAAACAAGCTCCTACATACTGCTGTAAAGTTACTTGTAAGTCAGTTTTGTCGTATTTCAAGTGTACTAAGATATTTGCACTAGAAACTAGACCAAAAATACTTTATAAGATTTTCTGTTTTTGCAGTGAAGGGTAAAAAAAAGACACCAGATTTTCCTCAAATCATAATTCAAAGGAAAAATGCAAACAAAGTTTAACTGAAGAATGAGGTAGTCTGATACATTTATTTTACCTAATATTTTTGTAGTTTTGTAGATTTATTTGAGTTAAATTTAGTATATGCTGTTTGGTAGAATCACCTTTTAAACTGTATGAGTTGGGTCAGACATTTTGCTGACCTGTTGGCCCATTCTTCCTGACAGCTATAATAGGGTGTGATCAGTATTTCCACATAATCCACTTTTGTCCCCACAGCATGATGCTGCCACACATTCTCATACTTCACTGTTATGATGGTGTTGTACTTCAAATATAACGATGTGCTTCACAGCCATATACTTTATTTTTATCTTCATCAGACCACATGACCCGTTTTAATGTCTCTGACCCTGAGTGGCTAATCATGCTGCATTTGGAGTTTTAGCTCTTTCACCAGCGTCACAAAGCATTTTCATTTATTCACAGGCTTATTTACACCTTTATATAACAATATGAGTGGATGTGTCACTGTCAAGCATCTGGAAATTGTACAAATATAGATGCATTAGACCTTCAGTTGGAGCGAGCTAGCTAGTTTGCCTGCTAGCTTGGTTTAAAGCTAGCTAGTTAGCTCGCTCGCTTGCTACACCGATAGGATTTTAATGAAATGTGTGTCGTCTGCAGGGACCTGTGGGACCCCCGGGGGATCCAGGCCCTTTGGGCCCAAAAGGCTCAAAAGTAAGTCTGTCATATTTACAGCATTAATAAGAACTTTCCAGAGGATTTTCACACAGAGTGTTTTCATCAGCTATGTCTGTAAAGATGGGATGGCCCCCCACTGATTTCTAGGTTTCTGTGGATCTGAAAATAACAAAGACAGACAAAGTTTCTGTTCTTGTTTGGGTTTAGGGGGAACCTGGAGCTCAGGGACCTGCTGGAGAACCGGTAAGTAAACATTTTCAACATTTCTGTTACAAAGAGATAATATCACAGATTATTATAATCTCCAAATTGTTCCACCTAACCTTGCAGTAAACTGTAGCGTTACTGCAGAGATTATTACTGCACCAGTTTGCCTTTGTCTGATTGCATCTGCTGGGTTATTCCAGATTAACATCATAATCTCTGATTTGTCATCCACAGGGAGTAGGACTTGATGGGACTGATGTGAGTAAAGAAGTTACAGACACGTTCCATTATTATGCTTTGTTATTGTAAAGCAAAGCTCTTCATTCTATGAAAATAGAAAAAAAAAGAAAATAAAGTCACAGTTTAAAAGGAAACTTATTTTATTTTGTCTATCAAACACAAATTACGTGAATAATACAAAAATATCCACATCAAAGTAAAATCAGATTGAACTGTTTCAGTTTTTGTCTGACTCTGGAAATTGTAATTTATTATAGTTTTTTATGTAGCAAACATTAAGAATCTGATGCTTGGTACCATTTTGCAGCATTCATTACAGTTTCTGCTGGTTCTGTTACAGGGTATTCCTGGCACGGATGGGCTACCAGGTGAACTGGGAAAAGTAGGACCGCCTGTGAGTAAACAACACCTGGTAGAAACTTAAAGTAATCAACTGAAATGGAAACTTGCTTTTTTCATAAGAACATACTTCATTTTTTTAAGGAAATAAGAAGATGACTGATGAAAACTTCTTTATGTGTTTCAGGGAGCAAAAGGGAGGAGAGGTGCCGTTGGTCTGCCTGGTCCTATTGGTCCTCGGGTAAACATCCGTCTACATCCGTCTGGTTCACTTTATACACACGTTGCATGTTGTCGTTTACATCTGGAAACAACGCGGTGCTGCCGCGTGGAGCAGTTTCTTTAACAAAATAAAACCAGGACACGTAGATATTATTAGTTTAGTGCAGTGCACAACAGAAAAGGGGAAAAATAACGCTGAAAAACAGTTGAAGAATAACTGAAAACCACTCATTCTTCCGTTTTCTCGCTCTCTGTGTCGGCTACGCTACACACAGACCGGTTACCATAGCAACCGACAGACAACAGCTCCACTAACGTTTCAGGATTCAGCACCAAAAAACACGCAAACATTCCCCACACAAAGAAAGGAACTTTCAATCTGTTAGTTTTATATTTTTATTTGTTATCAATAAGTGATTACTAGGGTGATTAACTTTCATTATTAGTGATTAACCCTAACCCCTAACCCTACATCCCTGACCAACCTAATTGTCCTCCTGGGTTACAAACCAGAAGTAAACTATCAATTTAAAAATGTTTCAGTCACATCATTTTTATAGAAATGAAGTTAAATGTTGAACTTTCCAAACTAAATAACTAAAAAACGCTGTACATCCCTACCAGATGTTTGAAGCAGAATATTCTCCCACAACCATAATCTAATTTCATTTTTTGCATCTTTTAGGGACCTCCAGCTGTTTACCAGGGTGAGGAGCTGGTGAGTGGATTTGTTTTATGTCCATTTAGAAGTAAAATAACATCAAAACGTGATTAATCTAACAAATGAACAGGAGGATACGAGACCTTTATCATCGACTTACGCAGGAAAACTGTGGAAGTTTCAAAGTGATTGGTAAAACAATAATTCTGGTTATTTACTGTTAAAGTAACTCACTCCCTGCAGAGGAAATTAATTTGAAGATCTAAGTGTAGATCAGGGTCATGACCTCAACACAAACATTTTTACAGATTCAGTTAAAAAAGTGGCTCTATTCCAACACAACCAGTAAAAACAGCTAATATGTTGCATTTATTCATTTTCATATCCGTTTTTAAAAATCTATTACATTTCTGAAATGCCAGCTGTGTCTTATTTAGGTTCATTTTGAATTCTAATTCAGTGACACTTTATCTGAAGGGATGTGCATACACTGCAAAAACACAAAATCTTACCAAGTAATTTTGTCTAGTTTCTAGTGCAATTACATTAGTGCACTTAAAATGAGACAAAACTAACTTACAAGTAACTTTTCAGAAAGTTATAAGAGCTTGTTTTATGTCAATAATTCCTTAATATTGATGAAACAGTTCTAGTTCCACTGGCAGATTATTTCACTTATAGCAAGACATTTTTTCCATGTTATAAGAGAAATAATCTTTTACTAAGTTTTAATCAATATTAAGGAATTATTTACTTAAAACTAGCTCCTATGTCTTACTGAAAAGTTACTCATAAGTTAGTTTTGTCTTATTTTAAATGTACTAAAATATTTGCATTAGAAACTGGACCAAAATACTTGGTAAGATTTTGTGTTTTTGCCCTGTTTAAAGCAAAGTTGCATTAAAACTTGCATTAAAAGTGTTAACTTTTAAAGTGACACTTTATGAATGTCGTAAACATTCATGAAGACTCATTCATGTTCATGACTGTTATTACTTCAGTTTTATGCACACCCTTCAAATAAAGTGTTACCTCTAATTCTCTATTAGTTTTTTTAATTAGGTTTTTCTTTAGTATTGTGTGTTTTCTGTTTTACCTGTGTATGGAAAGGTTACAATTGACTGAAATAAATAACTAATTGTTGTATTTTTCAGTGTCCCACTGCCTGCCCAGCAGGACTGAATGGATATTCTGGACTCCCAGGGATGAAAGTGAGTTCACTTTTAAAGATCGGCTGCAGATCAGTTTCAGTTTTCGTTTTTGAATTGATTTTAACTTGAACTTTTACTCCTCAGGGTCACAAAGGGGCTAAGGGCGAATCAGGTGAGCCCGGAAGACAAGGACACAAGGTGATGTCATGCCACAGATGATAACAGATAAAAAAACCAGAGATTACACTGTAAAATTAAAACATTTATATAACTGCGATAATCAACAGGGAGAGGAGGGCGATCAAGGACCGCCTGGTGAAGTTGGAGCTCAAGGACTGCCAGTAAAATATTTCATTTTTGTTTCCAAAATGGCCACTCATGTCTAAACTGATGATGTTTATTCTCAGAGAAATGATTTTAATCCAGCATACTAACTCCTCTCTGTCTGCTGAGTAATTTTAGGGCCCGGGTGGAGCAAGAGGCCTTCCAGGAATAACGGGCCCCAAAGGAGACCGGGTAAGAAAAACGGGGTTTGAATCTACTGTTCACTCATCATGGCTAAACACCTTAAAACGTTTTGTAAATCACTGCCAATTTGTTGCTTCAACCCAGTCAATAATAAAGTGTTTCCAAAGATTTACAATCTCTGTTAAAATATTGTTTTCTGTTATGTAAAAAGAAAAAAGGTTAATAATGTGAAAAAATAAATAAAAACTGCAATAATCTGGCGTCACGAGTCTCCACATCTTTAAACTAAAATGTTGTTGAACAACATGCTTTTTGTTGGTTGTAGTCTATCAGTCTGACACAAACTTTGATCTGGCTAAATTTATTTTCTGTTAGAGAAAAAAATCACTCTAAATTCTGGCCTTTTACTAAACTTTTGCAAAAGGCCATAATTTATAATTTGGATGCTTACTTGATGCTGAAAAACTAAATAACTTTTCATTTTGTGGTTTAAAACTGGCTAGTATCTGGAATTGTTTGATTTTTTTTCAGTCAACTTGACGAGAAACTCCCAGTTCCAACTTAAGAAAACTAACCCCAAAGTATGATACTGCCACTACCATGTTTTACTGTGAATAGGCTGTCCTCCTGGTCATGTACAGGGACATTTTTGAAGTTGATTGGTAGTTTGGTTTTAGACCAGAACACAATCTCCTGTAGGATTTACTACTTTCTTTTTGAAACACGACTTTTTTCTTGGAGCCATTTCCATATTTTTTGTTGTTGTCTTTCAATAGAATTGTCCAAGATATGTCATACTATTATGAAAAGTTTTTAAACATTTATTATGGTTTGTCTTTTTTACATTTCCTAATTCTTGCTGCTTAATTAGGGTAGAAACTTATTATAAATATATTATTTCTCTAACACTAATCAAGATGCCAAAAAGTAAACTCTTATTGTGTTTGGGGAAAAGTAAAATCATGTTAGATTAGGGCTGAAAAACATATCACAGAATATCAATATCTGCTGATATGGATATCAGTAGATATTGATAATTACTTATTAAGTTTTTCTTTGTATGTTTTAAATATCTGAAATACTGCCAAATGTAACCTTTGCTGTTTTATCCACATTTTCTCCTTTCACTCAACGTCACTGTTTTTTATTTTTAAGCAGTTATGAGGCATGGGAGCGAAACCTTAAACTGCTGCTGCGCCAGTTACTCAGCAGATTGTTGCTAGGCAACCAAAGAACTAGTGAGTTGCTAGGCAACCAAAGAGCGAGTGAGCCAGTTGATTCCACCAACTTTGCTTAGCTGGCTGTGAGATGTTGAGCAGCTAAAGTCTTTCCTCTGACTACATCCCCCAGAATGCTGGGCGGTTCTGGATTGGGATTCAGTGGAATTATTGAATATTCTACATTCTACATGTTTTCTATTCATATCAATCATAATAGATATTGTTATTGATTTGTTGTCCTGCCCCATGTTAGATCTTTGATGGGGAGATCCAATTTTTTTCCAGTATAAAACAAGTTTTTCTGTGCATTTTAAGTAGATGTACTCCAACAACATATGACATAAGTACTAATAAATAGAGGGAATAAAGCATGTTGAATTAACCTTTAGCTGTTTCTACTCTCCACCTGAACAGGGACCTCGTGGAAAACCCGGTGATGTCGGTCCGAGGGGAATTCAGGGAGCACCAGTGGGTGGACATCCAATTGACTGTAGAGATTAATTAATTAATCAATCAATGTTACTGATGAATGTTTTCACTTTTCAGGGGGATCCAGGTCAACGAGGAGCAATAGGGGAGAGTGGACAAATAGGAGCGCAGGTAAGGCAATTAAAAGAGTACAGAGAATATTAAAAAGCAGGAACTTTTTATGGTTTCTCATCTGAGATAAGTACTTTCACACTTTCTTCATTTTCTGTTTCCTCCATAAACACCCTGATTCTCTCTTTGCTTGTATTATAATTAAGGTGAAATTGAGATTATTTTAATTATTTTCTCACAGATAATAACTCAAGTTGTGCTTTTTAAACAAAAACCAAACATTTGCACCAGTTTTTTTTTGTCAGTGCTTCTTATTTGTGTGTTTTTTAGGGGGATCGGGGCCCACAAGGAATCAGGGGGGTACCAGGGCCAAAAGGAGAACCTGTAAGTCTCACTTCATCGTATTTAAGCCAGAAATGCAAAACTTTATTCTTGTCAAGGTGCACATCCTCGGTTCTTTCCAATCCACTAATTATTGATTATTATAGCCTGACTGTTGTTTCACCACAAACACACCAAAATATTTAAGTTTGATGAGATATCAAACTTAAATAAAAAGTATCAAATTGTCATACATTTTAAAAGACAATTATCCTTGATAGACACCAAATGTATGTAAACATTTGAGAAATTTGAGGAAAGTTACAAAAAAAAATATCTAAAAAATGTTGGCCAAGTTCTTCTTAGCAAATATAAATTATTTTATTTTATTTCAATTCTAACAAAGCTAAAACAAGAAAGGTTTGCCTGATTAACTGCAGACAGTGAGAAAAAAAAAGTCTTTATATTCAGTGTTTGTAAAGATCTGGTTTTAGCTGTAAGCTCTAATGTTGGGATGTCAAACTTAATTTAATTTCAAGCCACATCAGCATCATGATTGTTGTGGCAAAATATATTGAAAAACTCCTTATCAAACTGTTAAAGTATAAATAAATAGGTGTCTCTGCATTCAATTAGTACTTCTTAAAGTTAAATAATATTGACATCTTTTCACATTAATGTAATTTGGCAGCATAGAGATAAACACTGCTTTAATTTGATTAATAAAATAATATTGTTTCCTCGAAGGCTGTATTTATGTGTCTATCTAGAGTCCTGAGGGCCACAGAAAAACTTATGGCGGGCCGGATTTGGCCCCCAAGCCTTGAGTTTGACACATCAAAACAATGGTAAAGATGTCACAGAAAATAATCTGAATCAAAAGTTACACTCAGTTCTGAAGAATCTAATCAACAATCAGTCCTGTTCATGGTCGTTTATTTCATGTATGAATCATACATAGTTTTTTAATATTGATGGTTTTAATATATAATTATGCATCAGGATTTCTCATGGCTTCCTGTCTTGTTGGCAGGGCCTTCCGGGTCCAGATGGCCGTGAGGGAATACCTGGTCTGCCTGGCTCAAGGGTAATGTCGTTATTGATGCTGTACATGTGAAATTATACTAAACCACAGTTAAAAATAAAACACTTTATTCACTAGTTTAGGTTTTTGTAAGCACAGTTTAGTTCCTTTTAACCTGTTTATCAGTACCTGGTTTCCATTAAAAATGTATGCAAAACTTTGTCTATTCCCTTAATACCCCCCAAAAAAAAACACAACATAATTTCACAATTTCAGTGTTTCCATTAAATAAAAAACGCAATTAAAATCACACACACTTCAAAAACACAAAATCTTGGTAAGTAATTTTTGTCTAGTTTCTAATGCTTTCTAGTAAGATATAGCAGTTTGATTTAAGTCAATAATTTCTTGATATTAATGCAAAAGTACTAATTCTGTTGGCAGATTATTTAATTTACACAAGACAATTTTCCTGTTATAAGTGAAATAATCTGCCAGTAGAACTAGATCTTTTTCATTAATATTAAGGAATTATTGACTGAAAACAAGCTCCTATATCTTGCTGAAACGTTACTTGTAAGTTCATTTTTTCTTACTTAGAGTGTGCTAATATCAGAAATTAGGCCAAAAATCCTTTGTAATATTTTGTGTTGTTACAGTGCATGAATAAATATGTTTACTAATTAGTCATTAAAACATGTCATGATCCGCTCTGCCTTTCCGTTGTTTTATTTTCAGGGTCTTCCAGGGAAAAGTGGCGCTCCGGGTGATGCGGGCACGCAGGGGCTTCCTGTGAGTGATGTTTTTTTTTATTACCGTTTTTATCTTTTTTATTCTCACACTTTAATGTTGTTGAACATCATTTTGTTCATTTAGGGTTTACCAGGTACATACGGCCAGAAAGGACAAAGCGGCACAAAGGTATGATCAAAACTGTAGCAGTTATTATGGTAGAAAAACTTTATAAACTCACTAAATGTAGACAGGTTGAGAGAAGTAAAAGTTACTCCTTTTTTCCAACAAGGGTAACACGGGAGGCCCAGGAGTTGTGGGACTGATGGGATCTCCAGGGAAGCAAGTAAGTTTAAGCAAAATCAGACCTTTATTGTATTTATTGACTGAATTTGTGTTTATACACTGCAAAAACACAAAATCTTACCAAATAATTTTGGTCTAGTTTCTAGTGTGAATATCTTAATACACTTGAAATAAGACAAAACTAACTTACAAATAACTTTTCAGCAAGAAACAGGAGCTTGTTTTAAGTCAATAACTCCTTAATATTGATGAAAAAGTGCTAGTTCAACTGGCAGATTATTTAATTAGACATTTTTCCTGTGTTATAAATGAAATAATCTGCCAGTCAAACCAGTAAATTTTCATCAATGTTAAGAATTTTTTTTACTTAAAACAAGCTTCTATATCTTGCTGAAAACTTACTTATAAGTTTTAAAGCTACAAGTAACTGAAAAGTTCAAATGTACTATTTTCACAATAAACTAGACCAAAAATACTAGTGAGAGTTTGTGTTTTTGCAGTGAAAGTCATTTTGACTTTGTTTTGTATAATCTTTGTTTATTTTCATCAAGACAAATGACTTATTGTCCAGGGACAACAAATGAAAAGTAGCTTTTTGGCTAATTCTGGTGCCTTTACATAAATGTAATTTAATGTGCATAGTCTCTCCCAAATAAATAAATTAAATTAAATTAAATTAAAGTCCAAAATGCAAAAGCAACCATTCTGAGACGTAGAGGTAAATCACTATCTTTTGAATCACTATTCAAAAGATAGTGATTTTAAACTATTTAACTGAAATAAATGTCACCTGAAGTTTAAATGATTATCTCATTAGTGGTCATATTTACTTCCAGGGGGAGCGAGGAGACCAGGGGGAAGTGGGACCTGTGGGACCCAGAGGAGGACCTGTGAGTTTTACATGTCGGCTTCATATTTAAAGTTCTTCCTAAAACATTAAGTTTATTTTCTTCACCCTTGATTCCAGTTTGTTCTGATAACTCGGTGCCAAACCACTGATAGGAAATCTGGTTAATCAACTGAAAACATTCAGAGTGCTTAGCAGATGCACTGCAACAACCTTTTCACTCCTACTGCTGATTATTTTTTACTAATTTGTTAGACAAACTAGAGACAGTTTAATATTCTGTCCCGTTTTAGGGTGAACGTGGGGAGAGAGGACCTGATGGACCGCCAGGATTACCAGGAGGCAGGGTAAGACCTGACAGGTGGCTTATTTCAAGGGAAAAATATTAAATGAAATTTCCTCAGAGGAAGTGAC